TTTTTTTTCTTAGGTGAAGCTTAGCTCATGAGCAAACAGATGCTGAAGCAGCCTTCATTCGTTTTCTGGTAGATTCACATTCTCCCACGATGCCGCGGGACGCCGGAAAAAGCGGTGCGGGAGCACCGACCTGCAAGCTTCTACGCCAACTTGACAAGTGGGTCGTTATTTTAACCGCCAAAAAAGAAAAGGAAAAAACAACAAAAAAAAAAACATCCTGCCCGGACTGTATAGAATATATTTATATATAAACAAATATGTGGAAGAAAGGGAAGAACTGGGAAACAGAATGAGGGAAACCGAACTGAATTGTGGTTGGCTAACTCGTCCTAATCGTTACAACTTTTATCATGCGGGTCTGGGGTGGAGCAGAGACCAACAGAACAGTACTGTAGAGGGACAGCTGTGGAAAGTTAATACACAAAAAGTCTCCATACAAAAACGCGGATTATGTAAAAAGGGCCACAGGGTGACACGGTAATCATTTACATAGCATTGGCATTATTTTGGTCAACAAACATCCAAAAGGACAGCCCACTCTGCAGAGGCCGAGCTGCCTCCCACCGTAACACAGTGCCTCTCTTGGGTTTTGTTGGGTTTGCTGTGATTAGGGTTTTGTTTGTTTGTTTGTTTGTTATGTGGATACTGTACAAGTCTGGCTGAGGGGGGGGCGGGGGGGGCGCTCAGTCGCACATCTCCTCTGGAATCTCGTGAGGGTTCAGGATGCCCGGCACAGACATCTGGATCTTGTGTTTCTCCTCCTGGGCCTGGCGGAGCGACGCCTCCCTCTCCTCCAGGAACAGGTCCGAGGTGTCCTCGCCCGCAAACTCCTGCAGGGAACAGGGCCCGGGGGGGCAGGGTTAGCTCCAACAGCCCCTAATCTCTTCTCCTACCCTGCAGAGCCCCCACTAGGAACCTCATTTATGAACACTTAATATACCCAAGACAAAACACTGGATAAAACACCTATGATAGTTCAACTACTTCTTTAAAAAAAAAACAAATTTTAAGTTGGAGAATATGTATTAATGAATCTCTGATCTGGGACTTGAGCTACTTAAGCTGATAATCAGCCAAAATTGTGACTATAAGAACCAGTTTAAGGCGCAAATGGACAAATAGCCGCTGGCGGCTGGGAGAGTTTGCTCGCGTGTGCGTGGCTTCCCGCCGTAAATCCTCGGAAGCGGCCCAACAGCCCTCCGTGGCCTCGGAGAGGGGGCTTTCCGCTCACCTTTATCTGGACCAGGAAGTCCCTCAGGTGCTCCTTGAAGGCAGGAATGTCCTGGTTTAGGCTGAACAGCCCCGTCACGAACACCTTCACCTGGGCGCTAACGGACAGGGGGGACACAAGAATGTTAATTGCCGTCGCCGCCGTGTGTGTGTGTGTGTGTGTGTATGTGTGTGTGTGCGGCGGGGTTGTGCTAGAACTCACTCCTGTAGGTGGGGGAAAGCGGTCTTGAGCAGGTTGGCCACGTACTCCTGGATGAAGACCTGGTTGTTGGTGGGGCTGGAGGGGTTCAGGGCCGAGGTGATTTTGCCCTCCTCCACCAAGTTGAACATGTAGGCCAGGATGGACGCATGCATGGTCAGGCCTGCGGGACACACACAACACAGAACACACAATCTTTAAAATCATCCACTTTTTTAAATGTTTTTATTTCAAAGAGCACCCGTTTGTGTGTGTGTGTGTGTGTGTGTGTGTGTGTGCGTCTGCTGACCGGCTGTGTGCGACGTGTCGGTGACCACTGAGAAGATGTGCTGCAGGATGTCGCAGAAGTACGTCTGGTAGAAGCTCTGGGCGGCCGCCTCCTCCTGGGCCACGTTTTGCAGCATGGTGTAGAGGATCTGCAGACCTAGGAGCACAGCGGAGCGCCCAGGTCAACCACAGCTCCGGCTTTAGCGGAACATTTTTTTTTTTTAAAAAGGGGTTTTGTGGCGACACGTACCCGTGTCGGCCACGTTCCTCATGGTGTGCTTGAAGGCCCAGATGATGGAGTCCAGCACCAGCTTAAACTGGGCCGGGGGGATGGCGAGGAAGGCGGGGAAGCAGTGGGAGTTTACGGCTTGCAGCAGGTAGAAGAAGTGGGTCCGGTGCTCGGGGAACTCCTCAAAGTTCTGTTGGGAAAACCAAAAACAAAGTCACAAACACAAGCTGAAACTAGCTTAAAATGTCCCCAGGGAGATTCTCTATTCTCCTTTTTGTTTTTCTCATCTAAGTAAACTATTCATACAGAGCATAAAAAGTACCTTGTTGATCATGTTCAGGGTGCACTCGAAGACGGCGTCGAAGATCTGGGGAATCTCGCTGGTGATGTGGCCTCCCAGCTTGTTGACGATGGTTGCCATGGTGCTGAGCACCTCGGGCTCCCGGGCGGCGGGGACGTTCCGCTGGTAGTCGATGAGGACGGCGTCCAGAAGCGGCGGGACGAAATTCTCTCCGACCTAAAAGAGAGAGAGAGAGGCGTAAAACAGTCATCGGAGGGGGGGGGTGGGAAATAAAACTTTCATCCGACGATTCGTTTATCAGCACAGAATTTGGGCTTCCCCCCCTAAGTGCGGGCCTCCACTCACCATCTGCGGGTCGTTGGATCGACTGACCCAGCCCGAGATCAGCTTCAGCGTCTCCCGCTTAACAGTCCTCATGCTGCGGATCAGAGGCTGTTTGGTCACCATCTCACCTTTAACACACAGAGGGAGAGAGAGAGAGAGAGAGAGAGAGAGAGAAAGAGAGAGAGAGAGAGAGAGACGGTGAGCACTGGGCTTCTGGGGCTGAATCCGAGCAGCCTCCGCTCTGTGTTCCCCCGTGATCTCCCAATAATGTTGCACCCATTTATCATTATCAGTTCATGGACTCAATCGTGCAAAGTAAATGGTTCTTTTGAGGTTTTGAGGAGTACCGTTCGTCTGAATGGCGGCGGATATGTTCTCGCTCAGGCACTTGTAGACGTTGAGCATGTCCAGGTAGATGCGCCCCAGCTGGATGACGAAGGGGTGCCCCACCGCCTTGCAGGCCCTGACGTTGGTCTTCAGTATGCTGCCCAGCTGCTTCACCGTCTCCGGGTCCTTCAGGATGTCCACGTTCTGCGCGGCGGGAGGGAGGGGCGCTTTAAACACCGTTCTTTTTTGTTTTTTTAAACCGTCACCATTCCCGTCCGTCGCCTCCTCCCGTCCTACCTTGGTGGCCTGCTGGATGATGCTGTCCCACACCTGGTTGGGCAGCAGCATGTACTTCTCTATCAGGTGCTCCTGGACGGCCTGGTCCGTCTGGGCCCCGATCATGTAGCCCACGGCCTCGTAGAAGGTGTGAACCTGGACACGCAGAAGCAGAGACGCGTGAGCGGGGGGGGGATGGGAGGGGAGGGGGGGGGCGGCGTGCTCTTGCTTGTCGGGCGTCTGCTGGCCGACCTGCTGAGGCTGCAGGTCACAGATGATGGTGTTGATGTTGTTCAGGATCTCGTCGATGAAGGGCATCACCTCCCCCACCTGCACCTGGATGAAGTGGCGCCGGCACTTTTGGGCGATCTTGATGAAGGTGTCGCACGCCATGTCCTGAACTCCGTCGTGGGTCTCTGGCAGAACGAACGAATGTATGAATAAACAAATACGAGATGGAAAACTCGCAATCCAAAACAGTTTTGTTCTTTGGGCACTCTAAATCCTTACCGTGCATGAACTCAAAGAGCTTGTTGACCACGGTTTTGAGGAACTTCCAGTGGGCTCTGAGGAAACGTGGGTACTGGCCGACGATGTACATGATATTTGAAGCGATGATGGCCTTGTTGTCCTTTCCTCGCTTCTGCTCGCATAGACCCAGCAGGTCCTGAAAAAGGCGGCGCAGACTGAGCCTCACACACTCATTCAGAAGCACAAAATGTGTCGCTTTCCTTTTTTCGGTACCTTAATGACGGTGACCAGGAATCTCTTCTCGTCCTCTTCGTGCATGGCCCCGCTGATGGAGCCGATGGCCCAGCACAGCGTGTTGAGGTTCTTCCAGGACCACTCGGTGCCGTTCACCTGGTTGTGCAGCTTCTCGGTCATTATGCGCTCCGTGTCCGCGTAGTCCAAGTGAGTCAGGTACACTGTGAAGCGGCACGGCGCTCATATTATCGACAAGTGTGCCACGTGGGCTCGACAAGAGCTCGACCTGGGAGAGGACGCTAAATACCGGGGAAGCACAGACGCTCGCCACTGACCGTTTAACCTCCTCTGGTATGCTGCCAAGCAATGCAACGGTCAAAGCTGCAGCTTTCCCTCCGTCATCCATAATTCAAACCCCTTTCACTCTCTGGCTTTTCAATCCATCTAAAAAGCATTTCTTTAGAGCGAGGGGAAATCTAGCCAGCCAAGCTAACTTCTGAATGGCCTCTAAAATCTGAGTAAATGAGTAACAGAACCCTTTAAAGGATGACTGATCAGCGAGTATTCCATTAGGACTGCCGGAGAAAGACTAATGATGACTGGAGGGGATTTGAGGTCAGACATACCGAGGGTCTCCCTCATGTTTTTGTAGAGGTTGATGGAGTCTGTGTCCTTCATGAACTCTCTGACCACCTCCCCCTGGTCGTTCTCCACCACCAGGACCTCCTCTGGCTTGGCCATCCGACTGACCATCAGCAGACGCACCTGTCGCAAGACATGAAGTCAACCGTAAGCACCGCCCCACATTTTGTTTGTCTGGAAACTACAATTCCAGATGCATTTTAGAATCCGAGTTACCTCTAAATGCCTCCCCCCCCCCGCTGCAATTTAGGAAAATACTAACAACACTCTACAGAGCTGCTCGTTTCCAGTGACGGTGCACTGGGCCAGTCTTTTTTCGCAGCCCTGGAGCCGCCACCTGTCTTTGAACGGTGCCAAGTGACTCTGGTGTGGCTGCTCGCTAAGAATCCGCCAGCTGGGAGAAATTAAACGCCTCCCTCTGTGCGTTGGGTCGCTTTTAGAAATTTCGCGGCTGTCGGCCGGTCGGTTCGCCGTGGACCCGTACCTTGGAGAGCACGGGGAGGTAGAGCTGCCGGCGCGGCGGCACGTCGAAGTGCTGGTTGCCCGAGAGCAGGGGGGACGTGGAGGTGGAGAACGGGCTCTCTCGGTAGAGCTCGGCCGCTAGGTGGTTCCAATACTCCAGGCAAATTTTGAAGATCTCCGTCTCCTCCACCTCCGACACCAGCAGCATGTAGTGCAGGGCCTGTGGGGAAATGGAGGGGACGGCAAGTCGGTTTAGTGACGTCATTTTCGGGCCACCACGGCACATCGCGTATTCGGCAATCGAGTTTTTCCTCTCGCCTCCATTAGCGTCTCTCTGAGGTTGAGCCGCTTCTCGATGAGCTGCCCGTGCTCTTTGAGGAAGGTGCACAGGAACAGGCTGAGGTTCTGGATGAAGTTCTGCTCGTCGTCCTTGCCGTTGGCGTAGGCCAGCCGGATGTTGGTGTTCAGGGGCAGCATCTGGAAACAGACGGCGGACGGTCACAACTCTCGGACGGGGTGAAAGGTCACGCCGGCCCCCTCGTTTGCCACTCACCTGCTTGAGCTGACACATGGTGAGCGTAAAGAGGGTGACGAACTGCTCCTCGTACTGGCTGACGCTCACGCCGGCGATCTCCGTCAAGCACTTCAGCGTCACGTTGCGAAACATGGGCACGTTCAGGAACTGGGGACGGTTCCGGGACAGAGATCGGGTTACTCACGGCGCCGGTCGAGGCTTCGGCAACGAGACGCCATCATTTAAAATTCAGGGCCTGTACCTTATACACCAACGTGCTGATGAGCTTGGTCTCAAAGATGTAGCCCAGTGGGATCCAGTTGAGGAAGCGCAGGAGGGTCTCCAGGGTGGCGTGAACCAGCGGGGCATTCTGGGAATTTTCCTAAAGTGCAGCCAAAGACATGAACAGTTGAGGACCACGGTGGCATGTGGAGGAAAATATTTGACGTCGAGATGGGTCTGGACGTACCATAACGAACTGACAGAGCTGGAATATCTGGGAGAACTCGTTGCACATGCTGAAAGATACAAGTTCGTCCAATTATTTTTACGTTCATGTTTCACTTTCTAGGATTCGTCTAGCATTTGGGAAGTATTCAGATGAAATGTTGCTTCTTTGATTTCGGCGCAAGCGTAAAGAGGAGGGCGTCGAGAGTTACTGAGGACCCTCACCTGTCTTTTAGGTGCTTGGCTTTAACTTGGGTCATCTGGCCACTGGAGAAGTCAAAGACCTCCTCGCTGAGCAGTTTCAGGATGACCATGTTGTTCTGACAGAGGCTCTCACTGGTGCGACTCGCCCCCACAATGTCGCTGATGAAGGTGGGCCAGTGCTTTGGCCACTCCTGTTTCAGGATCTGCAGATTCGGGGGGCATAAATTGATTTTAGATAAGGGGGGGAAAAAACTGACAGCGCACATTAAAACAAAATCGGGCGGCAGTGGGGTTAAAACTGAAACAGCTTCTTCTTCCAATCTTAAATTTAAAAAAATTAAAATCTCCTAAAAATCCAACAAAGCATGATGTAGTAAATCCTGCACTTGTTCAAAACCAACTTGCAATGATACCTTCATTTGCAATTCATTTAAATTTTATTTATATAGCCCCACATCACAACAACAGTTATCTCACAGCTCTTTTCATAAAGAGCAGGCCTAGATCGTACTCTAGAGTTATTTACAGAAGCCCAACAAATTTCAAGGCAGCATCTTGATTTAGAGAAGGGAATCTGGATCTGTGTAGACTAAAATAATAATAAAAAAACATTTTTAAAAGTCACAATATTGGCTGGTACAAGCAGTGACTTATTCTCAAAGATATCAATGCAAATCCCTCATTTACTCAGCGGTCATTGTCTCCTCACAGAAATAAGGATCCAGCACACATGCAGACAACTGTCAAAGACATATCCTGCAATCAACAAATCCCTGAAGTCTAATTCCTTTGTGTCATTTCTGCTTCTTCCTGGAGTTGTTCAATGTATTCCATCTTTAGTCATTATAAACATATGCGTGATTTCCATGTGCTTATGCCCTTGTCCGGTTAACACCACGTTCAGGATGCTGATTGGGTGAAAAAAAATCTAAACAATCCCCACTCAATTTCAAGCCTGAATTGAAACAGTGGACTGAGTCTAAATAAGTAATAAGTCTCTCCAGTGTCTTATGCATCATGTTTTGCAGAATAATTACTGATGTCTGAGAAGGATGATTAGTTTTCAGCTGGAGTTTTCTAGATTTCTTAGATTGAAAGAGTTCTAAATTTAAACACGCAGATGTTTGGCCTGTGGGTTTCTTCTTCACCTCTCAAAAACAAATTAATAAAAATAATAATCCCGTCCATCCAACTGTGGGGTTAGAAAAACATACCAGTTTTAAACAGCACAATGGAAATGTTCCTGTCCGTTTTATTGACAACACTTTTGTGAAATCAGAAAAATGTCTTCAATTTGGCCATCTTATGCACAAAAGTGCAGACGGAGAAACTGGTTTTGTCATTCGTCATTATACATAGGCTCATATTCACAATATAACATATAACTGACAAGTCTATGCCCAAGTTTTACAACTAACATTGTTACATATCTCAGAATAAAGACATTTCTTTTTTCTCCTTGAACTTACCTGTACAAGGATCATGTTCAGCTTTCCAATGTACACTTTTTCTTTCTAGAAAGACAGAAATAAGAACAATTACCCTCCATTGGTCCACAGAACTTGCATAGCTTCATTAAAAGAATTATTTTGAACACAGCAATAACCAGGCATAAATGTCTGTGTGTCACAAAACTGAAACTACCAGGTTATATAAAGGTTTTGCTTTTATTTAGCCCATTTTGCAAGATCAGATTACTTGTAAAAATAGTATGTAATAGCATAACAAACACATTGACCCTGCTATGAAAATAAGCTGTGCTAATTTATCCTTACAGGTTGCTTTTTTGCACCCTTTGACAACTTATAATAGCCAGGGTCCCAAAGAAGAAGAAGAAAAGAAAAAAAAAAAGTCCACTCTCTTATGCATAATGTTTTGCAAGATAATTACTGATCTCCCAGCAGGGAGTTAAATACCAACAGTCTGGTAGTAAACATCAATTCAGTTTGCAGTCATCGGTTTTAGTGTTAGCTCCACCAGACCAGAGTCCAGTCCACAGGTAACCTCTCATTAAAAGGCAACCAAACAAGTCCAGAATCATTTCCCAAGTTCATGTAAGTTTTTCCCTCCTGCCTCTGCTCAAACTACTTTCAGCTTGCACAATTTTTAATTGGCGCTGCCTATTGGCAAAGTAAAGTTTATAACCAAAAGAAATTGGGGAACATGACCAGCCACAAGGCTTCTTCTTTCCTGCTTATCTGAACACCACAGCATGAACTTTGCTACTTGTTAGTCAGACAAAATGTTGTCTAAATGAAACAGAAAAATGACTTTATCTGTGCTGCCTTTTAGATCTGAAACAGCTTAACAACTTTGGAGCTCAGCGTGGCTGAAAACACTCAGAAAGCTGCAGAAATTACCAGAAGTTGGCCTGCTTTAAAACAAACCCCCTACCCAGTAGATATATTGATAAGACTTTGTCACTCCCTAATCTTAGACTAATCATCTTGATTACATGTAGCTCGACAGATCTTACCTTCCCGGTCTCGCACAGAAACGACTACTTCTGTTTCATTTGAAAGTTGACTCACCTCTACATTTGAAGCATCTGATGAAGTCTTGATAATGAGTCCAACCACATACTTTTTTATGCCTGGCAAGAAGACAAAGACATCAGAAGAAGAGCGTTAACGAGCACTAAAGACAATTTAAGGGGAAAACAAACGTCCACGTCAACAAATCCTGACATGACGAGGTGCCTGGGGCACGTTACTCTGAAACCCTTCTACACTCTCTGCTGGTGTTGCACAAGCTTCACCTGCCACTCTTATCCCACATGTCTACACACTGATGGAAGGTGTGGTTCCTCCCTTTACATTCTGTTGCAAAGCCAATAGACAAGATACATGGATGTGGGTTGCAACTGCCACTGAACTTCGACTGGGCAAACAAAAAAAAGCACAAAAAAAGTTGACGTCAGTTCAGTGGAAGTTACATTTCCCCTGGAGTTTTCACAGTCAAGGCTGTCAATGTGAGCAGAGCATCCTAAAACACTGTGTTTTCAGCTCCCTCGCGTTCGTCTCCTAACTGTAGCTGTGCTGCGATTATGTGCTGGGGTGTAGTGAGAGGAGCCGAAAACGAGGCAATACTCTGACACAAGGGGGGAAAAGACATACTTGCCGGTCGCCCTGCACTGGGTTTGCCACTTGAACAAAATTCAGGCATCTACGGTCAGAAGCAGGCAAGTCTTAGGTCAATGGGAAAAATGAATTTTGAGCAAAATGATATAAGAATGGCGGGAGGCAGAATCAACTGATTTGACAATGATTACCAAATTATTCCATCATCCCTACTTTTTCGTCTTTTTATATAGCTCAAAAAAGAAAAAGAATTGTGTGCAAATCTTTCTTTTTTGAGCCTTTTTTTTTGTCAAACTTCTGCTTATCTGATATCTAGAAATGACCTCATTGTATCTGCTCTCAGCTAAAGGTGATAAACTGAGTGGACTGCAAAAAGTCTGCAGAGCACAATTGGCAATTAGGCAAGAATTGAAGTCTCCACATTTGACAGGTCAGATAGTTTTCATCATCATATCAAAGATGCAACATATGGGAGCATGTCATACCAATTATTGACAGATACTGAAGTAATGAACGATTACAAACAGCATATTTTAAAGACAGAATCTACCAAGTCAACATTTTAACATGTTACATTTGGGGTCATCGATGAAAACTTTCCTCAATTTGTTCAAGTGTGCCGTATATCGAAATTTCTCAATTTGGAAGCTTTTGCTGTAGGTTTAAATGATAAAAGAAAGTGGCAGGGGTTAAAACAAACAACCCATCCTTCCGGCAGGGAACGGCAGGACAGACAGCCTCAGAACAACAACAAAGTCTCACTGTTCCACACCGTGATCACTTAAAAAAATATAGTATTTTTTACAGATTATTAGAGTTATTACAACTAACTTCATTTTCTTTACTTTTTTAAAGAGGGCTTTCCAAAAAGCATTAAAAAAAACAAAAGATAAAGAAAAAAAAAAAAAAACAGAGTTTTTGGTAGTTTTCTCTGGAAAATGGCTGCTGATGTTCTAGAATTAAAAACCTCTTTGCAGCAGCCAGTGCTCTCCAGTCGAGCAGAAAACAAACCAGCATGCTTAGTGAGGGAATACTCCTCAACATGGCAACCGCACGTCACAACATCTAAAAAAACACAAAAACAGAACCGTTGATTCAACCAGTTCTTTGTTGGTCTGTACCGGAAAACAAAAGTTTTACCTTCGCACTGATTCCGGGGAAGGATCTTCCATCTCGTTTTGATAACCGTTTCCAGAATCTGAAGAGCATAGTACTGCAACAGGCAGAGAGGGAGTCCGGTTAGGATGAGGCCACTACTGCATGCAGAGATAAGAACTGTGAAACTTTAATACAAAAAGAAAAATTTGAAAAAAATCACAAGGTGGACCAGCCTGTCGTAACATGGATTTCTAAATTTGACTGGATTAAACCACGTCTCTCATGCAGATTTTATTACGTTTCTTTTTTCTTCTTCTTCTTTTTTTTACATGTCTACCAGCACAATTTAGCTGGAACACTGCAGAAGTCCTGCTGTTTCTCACAGCATCACACCAGACAGCAGAAAAATATGTCAACCCATTAACCAGGTTTGGCACCGAACGCTCCGAATGAGAGCCTAATGGTCTAAAAGACCAGGTTTGTGTCAAACATTCTTTTACAAAGGTTGCACAAACCGTGTAGTTGGGCATCGAGAATGTTCTTTTTTTTTTTGCCATGATTTAAAGTTAGTCACAGACAAAAAAAAACAAACAAACAACAAAAAACAACCCCAAAAAAAAAGCAAGAAAAAAAAAAGCTGAAAATTATTCTTAATCAGCTCAGATTTGATCTAAGCCAGCAGTGTTTTTTGTTGACCTCAGAGGTTCAGGCTGTGTCATGCATGTACGATGATTAGAGTATCACAGACTGGAGCCTGAAAAGACATAGCCAAGGTCAAACGGACAGCGATACGGGGGGGGGGGAATGTGACCACAGCCCAAATACCAGCTTATGGGTTGTGACAAAGCATTTACAGAAGCATGGCGGAGTCTACAACAACATTAGTCATGCATGAAAAATCAAGCAGCCCCTTCATTCACTGAAATGGTAACACCAACCGAGGATACGGACAAGGGAAAATAGATGCATTTTCCCCAGAGTTAATTCAAAACCTCAGAATCAACGTCCAAATATTGTCGATACCCAACCCCAGATCTGTTAGTTGACCTCGAGCTATGGCATACGTTGCGGTTCATATCTACAGCAAAGGTAAACCTGGTCCCTTCAACTGGTGTGTCATAAGGAACAGCAAGACCAACCACAGGTTAGGATTTGTATTACTCGTGATTGCTTAATTGTAAAATGACGACATTTTGCTTTCAAAGTTCATCTTTGAGCTATTGTAACTTGAAATGACCGTTTCACCTGTAGGGATCATCAACTCAAGAGAGCAATGCTCTGGGGGGTAAAAATATACATGTATTTTAAGGCATTATCAAAGCCTTTTTTTTTTTTTTTTTTTAAACGGTGTAAGATAAAAAAAATAAAATCTCCTAACAGGCTCTTTGACAGAACACCACTTACAGGTGTCATCCGGTGCACTTTATTTCCACTTTAACTGCATAAAGCGAGAGAAAACAACCGAACACTATACAACCTTTCAGCTGAGAGGGGGACGTTTTTCGAAGTGCTGTTGACTGAAGCAGAATGAACAGGAAAAAACATTTCGAAAAGAAATGAAAGAAAAAAAAAAAAAAAAAAAAGAATGAGGCCATGATACCTACAGGTGAAATGAAGTCATTACAGCTGCCTCTCTACAATAGACCCTACTGACTGCAGCCTGCACCCTCTATCTGTCCAGTAAAACAGATGCAATAGAAACGGATGAACAGAATTCAGTCAAAGGTAATTTAAAAAAGGGTAGACCTTGTGGAGGCCTGCCGTCAAAGCCTAGCTGTGTCAAGATGCACAGGATGACACACCCCTTTTCTTCCTATTACAAGCCATAAACATAATGGAACATTGTGATTAATGTCAAATAGTCACAACTTGAATTTATTACATTTTCAAAGTTAAAAAGAAAAAAAAATAGAATAGAGATGTTCAAAATGCTTTGCAGTGATGCACTTTTAAAGCTGATGAATCGAGGCAAATGCAGAGTTTGACCAATTCACCTTTTCCTTTAATGCCTGATTCGTTTGTCAAATTCAAAAGATAAGCCTACAAACAGTACCAAAAATCATATCAGAGATTAGTAGATTTGTGCGGGTGTTAGGAAATTTATTTTAGAACCAAAAAATGTTAAAGGATTGAAATTACTGAGGATTTTGTTTAAAACAGAGCATGACCTAAGGACTTGATATTGGTCTTGGATTAGGAGTATAAGCTTTTTATTTGGTTGATGCAGCTGTAGTTTTTCTTATGCATCTCCCCAGTCTGAAAGTCAGAGAGGCAACAACCCACTGACTTGAACAGAAGATTTCTTGAACCTCTGCAACCTTTTTATTGCCATTTGTTGAATGATGACAGCCAAGATCAACATGGCTGACATACTCGGAATAATTAGGAAAGACGGGTAAAAAGCAGGAGCTCGTTCCCTGCAGGAACCAGCTGGCCAGACTTTCTCCTGCCTTATTTGGTGGTTTGACAATATTGCAAGAACAAGATAATCGTCTTTTGTTTGAATAGTGGGTTCAGGTCCAAAGAACTTGTTTTACCTCAAGAACAAAATATGCGTACACTGTCACATTTAAGTCATGAGACAAACTCTTATCATCACCATTTTCAAATCTGCTGAAGCCATGCAGACACACAATATGTACCTATCAGTACATAGAGCTGCTGTGATGAAAAGTAAACATGAAATATATATGTATCCATTGTAAGGCATTGCTTTAATATAATTTCCCATTAAAAGCTCTTCCTCAAAGTTCTCCGCCATTGTTTTTTTTTTTTAAACCTGGGCTTGGCTTACTTTGGTGTTCATGTTCTGGGAGAACTCAAGGATGGTGTCCACTCTTGTCCAGGCATCCGGGTGCTCCTTTAAGTGTGTCAAAACCTCCTGTGCCATCCTTTGCTGCAATACAAATGAGGAGGGTCACTCAAAGGATGAAATGATACGAGCAAAAGAGAACACGTTGGATAAAGAGGAGGAGAGGGGCTTTGTTCGGGATCCGGCTTGTGCGAAGGACTGGGCACAGAAAGCCAAAGACATACCTGAGGTCCCACCCCATGATATAGGCAGTTCACTACATTATCCAGCAGGTTGATATCCAATTTCTGGTTGAAGTCCAGCAGCTGCTGCGCTGCATGGTCGGCTAACATTGTCATAATTGCTGGCATAGAGTTCTGCAACAAGGACAGCAGAGGGGGGGGTCATGAGTGCACAGAACACATTCAATGGCAGAGCCATGTGGACAGTATGTTTGGAGACAAGTTCAAACAGCTGATAATGTCACAAACATCCTCTGAACTGCCCAGCAAACTGTCTTTTAAAAAAAAAAAAAAACTTATTTCATGGTGTCACATTTCAAAAAGTAAATAAACGTGAACAATTAAAAGCGCTCTACTTTACGACACTCTGAAACGCCTCGTTTAGCTTGCGATAACGCTGCAATAAAAACCTTCCGGTACAGTTTAGCCTACATATAAATGGTGGTGTCAGGGCTTTTAGCAGCCGCATTCTCCTCAAAAACGGGTCAATATTGATCAGTAAACAGCTGAGTAAAGCATTCAAAACTCAATGTCAAAAAAGACATTACCCCGTTTGTTTAAACGACAGTTGCATCAACCAAAGCCCCGAGCAGGTGGTTACTGCGGAGCCATCCATCCTGCTCGGTTATAATAGTGCGCCTTTTCCTCTTGGACCACATATTTCGGTTTTTTATTGAGCCACGTGCCGAGCAAACCGAGCGACGTCACCTTGTTTACTTCTGCAAGTAACAGAATTCTCCTTCTGACTTCTGACACCGACTACAACTCGAATTTATGTGTACGTAGGGTTGGGAACATGGACGTGTGCGAATTACTCCGCGAGTTACGTAGCACTACGTTTAACGGCAATACTGTAAACAGCGTGCACGCGGCACGAGTACTCTCCACTCGCGGTGCTAAAATTAGCTGGCAGTTATATTATAGCTCCGGCTAGTCGTTAGCGTGTAGCATGAACGGGTCACATGTGGTCCTTTGCTCACTACAACCACTCCCACCAATGATGCCCGGGACTGAGGACGCCCTCAGATTAGCGTTACTCGCTGTATCATCACCGCTGTCCCGGGAAGTCGCCGCTTTGTGGAGCGACTGCACTCCACAGACACCGGGGACATCTCTATTTTTTTTTTGCTACATTTTCGGGCGCTTCACAATGTGTTTGGGTAAAGTTGACGCTCGCTACAGCTCAGTTCCTAGCCTAGCAACATCAACTTGACATCCACTCAGACCTCGCACACGAGTGATGCTGCTGTGGTGGGCAGAGGCGAGGATTAAAATCATACAGCGTTTCGTTACTAATTCATCTGCAGTGTCGCACGTTAAGTCACGATGTGTACGCTCGATTAGTTATGCAATTAATTAGATGGGGTTACAGCACTTTCTCTGGCGTTAGCTTGTCCTTATACGGCGGCAAATGCTAGCTAGCTGGCGGTCGAAATCCTCTTGGTTATCCCCTTAATGCTAGTGCACTCTGTATTAGCATTTTTTTTTCAAAATCACTATTAAACACTATTTCAGTTCCCAGTAACACATATTTAAACCTACAGTAAACCGCATTTATTCAGTCCACAGGTAAAGCCAAGAAATGTTAATCACAGCATGGCAGGTTTGTAGTTCACCCCAGTTTACCTACCTAAAGTCCAAGGCTCTGACTCAAAAAGAGTGGCGTTTGCCCAAGGAGCTACAAGATTTAGTGATTACTTCTCAGTATCACTGATGATTAGAAAAGATTTCCTATTACTGCAGCGTTGACTATCTCAGCTCCAGCAGTGAGGGATGTCTGGCTGGTAAGAATCACTAATGTGGATTCCAAAACTACTATTACGGCAAACCCAGTAATCTATCACTCCGATACATTTTACGAAACAAAGTAAACCTTGATTCACTAATTAATTCGTTACTCTTATGATTTTCCAGCGGGGCGGTATAGAGGTTCTGTGCCTGCGCCTTCTATCCTCTCTCAAGCAACTAACTCACAACCGGTTGAAACCGGTTCAGACTGGGAGATTCCATCTCGGTTTAGTTTTCAGCCGATGGCGCCGCGTAAAGTTTGGACTAGGGCTACGCCCACACCGTGCGTTGATTGGCTACGCCTTTGGCGGAGACTTCCTACTTGGCTTGCCATTGAGTGACCGGCCTGTCAATTTATTTCAATTCGCTCAAGCGCCCACGCGACTACTCCGCCCGGAGAGAAAAAGAGGGCAGACTCCCATGCAGAATGGACTTCTACATCCCTCCATGTAACATGAGAGCGATTAACCGAGCAACCGCTTATTTTAAACGCAACTTGCAAACTTTAACTTTCGAATCTATCCGGATTTTAAATTCGCGGCAGAATTTCTGCTCCTCCGTGCAACGTCGGTTGTAACGCAAAGCGAGTTTATTGGCATCTGTCTCTTAGGTCGTCACTGAAGGTTCTGCTACTTTAAAATGTAAGATTTCCCCCCCAGTGAACAGTTGTTGTCACAGGCACACTTATGGTCCGAATGATATGATGAGCCACAAATGCCATTCATTTGCCTGTTGCTTGTAAGCTGGTAATTTTCCACCAGCCACGAGTGGGAGTGGTTACATGAACATGAACGCACGGGGTTAGTGAAACGACCTGGAGCAGAATATAGTTTCCCCGAGTGGCTGACGGTGCTAAAAAGAAAAGGGAAGTGCAAATATGTTATGTCATTACCACCGGAGAAGAGACATGTAGCTGCTCGGTGTAGGTTTTTGCTTATTAAAACCCATAAACGCAAGAGCACCGCTGACAACCGAGGATGCAAACATGACAACGGTTTTTTTTTTCCCTCTCCCCGGTGGTCACGTGGTGTAGCGCGCTACTTGATGGAAAAATACTGGATTTGGTGTGTAGCGGAGATGGCACACAACCCCAGTAAAGTCAGGATTTTTTGAAGGGCGGTCGAGTGTCTACCCAGCAACACCGTCTATCACTCACTTGAATGTATGTCTAAGCTGGCCACACCGATAAATGCAAACCGTTTTTGTTATTTTAGGCTGCCCGGAGCTCAATATGCAGGTTGGAAATCACTCCGGGTTTGTTTTTTTTGAACGACTAATTGTCCCCCTCCAAGTTTGACGGCCTGATATTAGCATAAAAAATGGTTATTGAGAGTTGCAAAGTGGAATCATTTGGCTTATGTGTAACAGTAGGGGGGGGGGGGGGGGGGACGGAAAAGTAAACCAAAAATGGAAGGTGTTTTTTTTTTTGGGGGGGGGGGGTCAACTGTGGACTATATGTAGATTGTAAGTTGTGTCGTTTCTTTTTCTCATCCTATATCCGTGCCCCGTTGTCGTGTCGGTGTCCTTGGATCAGTCTCGCACCCCAGACAGTTGGCCTATATCCGAGCCTTTGTTATTAACAAACAAGATTTCAAAGCCTATTATCCATGTGTGGATTCACGAGGCGCCGTTTTGCTTTGCCCCTACAGTACGTGCCACCCGCGTTCTTGAAGCAGGATTCCCGCCCCTCCTCTGTCACAAGAAGCCGCGCACATTTCTAGAAACAAACAGGTCGGTCCGCTTTTTAGGAATGAGATGTCGAGGTTGGAGGGTGTGTGTGTGTGTGTGTGTGTGGGGGGGGGGGGGGGGGGGGTGAAGTCCACCTTCAGTCAGTCCACGTGTGACTTGAGACGTTTTACAGTAGGGCTATAAAACTACCTGTTCAGTCACGGTTTATTATTTTTTCCGGTGCATGTCCACACTGGGTTTAGACTATCAAATGCAAAGCTCCCGTGTCCGACTGTTGTAGTTTTAAATACATTTAAAAAAAAAAGAGAATGCTTATTCAATCAGATCCCAATATAAGTGTGAGTGGAAATGAGCAATAATTCTGTGTGCGCAATCAATCAATAAATATTGTCTCACACAATGGTGGATCTTGAAAAGTGTTTTTTTTTTTAAGGACGTTCATTGATGCATTTGGTTCATAAGTAGGCCGTACATTTTACGTCAGTCTGACATCATTAGGTCTAAGACGAGGCGCTGTGAAAATCTACTCATTTAATTCGGAATGAGTTTGTTCCTCTTAAGATTTCGGCCGCACAAACGCGCCTTTCTTTTGTCGCGGCTCGAAACAGTGCTGGAATTTATTGTCAAACACGTGTGAAGTTTGGAGGTAAGTAACCTCAGTCAGGCGCAAGCTGGTTAAATCCCGTTCTATCTGGTTGGGCCACGGTAGGCCATTTACATATATTCTCATTGCGCCACACTAGGGGGCTGACCTCCATGAGGTAATAACCCTAAAAAAAAAAGAAGAAGAAAACTTGGAATGTGTCGTACTGGCCCGTATTGTTATTGTCCCCATACCTCGAAAAAAAAAAAAAAGTTTTGTTTCGTTTTTTTTTTTGCATGAAGCCCCGTGGCAGGAAAAGCAGAAACGAAAACTCCCTCTCGACTTTGGGGGTATTATTTCACAACAATGCCAGTGTGACATTAAGAGTCCACGTGCGTGGAGTTGACAGGGCACGCTAAGCCTGAGCCCAGGTTTAATTTGCGTTCGCTTATAAAACGCAAGTGGTGCGTTTAAAAGAAAGTGTAAACAAACACTAAATCGCTTTTTGTGACTCTTTCCAGGTTTTTACCGCCGGACATTATATAAACAAATAACAGCGCCATCTTCTGCAATGTGCATGGCACGTGTTCCGAACTGCCGATTCGTAGGCCTGGAGCGCCCTCTGCTGGGGAAATGATGCACATAGGTTTGTCCCCATCTGAATCCCACTTGAGGCTGTACTAAAAAACACTGAAACATACGGGAATTCTATATATATATATATTTATTTGTATAGTAGATTTTTCTGCTAATAAAATAACCTATTTCCAAGCCATTACCATTGTGACTTAATGTATTTTTTTTATGTAAATCTATCTTAGACTATACATACATTCATTTGAAACTAATGAATCAAGTCATGGCAGGAAATATGTCTATAATACTGTTTTTTTACAGTTTTACTCTTCTACTTTATCTTTACTTAAAAAAAAACATGCTACATCTTTCAGACTACAACAAACCTATATCTACTTGGAAGTCATACAGTTCTAATATTTCACATCAAGATCTGTCACAGATACTAAGAGGTCAAAATTAAAAACTAGTTGTTAGATTTAAAAAAAAAATTAAGAAACAATATTTAATAATTAACCTCTTTCTGGGACATACATATTGATTAATACCTTAAAGATTGCAACCATATCATCTTAATATAACTCCAAACAAAAAGGATGCCATTGAGTACTTGACAACAGCATTTATGTGTGTTTGTGACAATACCACTGTTTCTACATATAGACAAACCATTCACACCATTTACAAATTGGGCTGCGGTTTTAATCTAAACTCTACATTGTTTTCTGGATAAGCTTGCAATGAAGCCTGATATTTTAATGCATTGAATTGCACATTAAGTACACCCCAATATATAGGAAACGCTAAACCACCTAAACCACAAGCTATCATTTGGAAAGGAAGTTGCTAGGGTTAGCCAAGAGCGCATTTTTTGTCATAGGTTTTCCTACAGCTGTGAAAAAAGCGTAACAGACGCAGCTGGATTCTGGCTCAAAGACATCCAGTTTTTATCAGAAATTATTGAAAGCCAGTCCAATGCAGCAACAGTCTGGCAACAACTGGCCACCACAACGGTCACCAACGCATCTGGTTTTCCATCCATGTTTGTAGTAGCTTATCAAATTATTTCAGTAGTTTACATGAGAAATTTTTAATCGATTATAGGAAGGTTTTCAATTGTTTGAAAAATTGTAAATAGTTTGGAAACATTTTCACCTGTTTAGGACATGTTTTTATAGAATATTTTCAGTAGTTTACATTAAAGCTTTTCACCCATTTATAAAGTTCACTCAATTATATGTGAGCTGTTTTGCAGTTTATGGAAAAGGTTTTCACTGGTGTATATATGTAGGATATTTTCAACACATAGATAGATAGATAGATAGATAGATAGATAGATAGATAGATAGATA